TTTGATACACGTTTAGCACGAAAGCAATGGTATAATATGTCACATGTTTTGGATCGTCATGCTCGAAACAAACAAATGATGATGCAATTTGAGAATGAATTGGAACGTCTGATGAATGAGCGTGATAGATTATCATCCGATTTGTTGGACGTTCAAAAACGAACCTCAACTAGCAGCAATGACTTGGACAATGAGGAAGATTTAATTAAATCTAATCTGACTTATGTCCAAGAAAGCATTAATAATACTCAACAAGCTTTGTTACAATTCGATGATAGTAAAGATTTCAATGTGGGTGAATCGCACAATGTGCAAAACTTCATCAACGAAATCGATAATATCGACGAGGCGAAATATTTGTTAGAACGTTTATCTACGAACTCAGTAGACTTGTTATGCAAAGTGGCCAATTTGGAAAATCACTTGCAGGAACGTATTGCTTTATTAAAAGAGGCTCAGCAAGAATGTCTTGTGCAGCAACAATTGTTACAGGATTTCGTAGCACAAAATAATTTGGAAAAAATAACCGATTTATTTGAATCGTTAAGCTTAAGCGTCTCGAAATCAAATTGCATTAGAACTAGCGGTTCGCAAAAGTCTTTAAAGAGCAACGAAACCTACGATGTAGGAATTGATGAAGCATTTCCTTTATCAGAACGAAATCGTAGTTCATCTCCGGAACTTGTTCAAGATATGATGTAAGATATTTGATATTGATATGTAAATAGTATGCCATAAATTGTATGATATATTCCTCTTATTTCAGAAATAAAAAGATTAGAAGTCGTACCGCACAGCCCTATAATATGTTGTTTGGAGAAAAGGTAAAGTTTACAAGAATAAAACAAAATAGAAAACAAATAATTAAGAGTAGTTTATACATGCGATGGCCAAAAGCACAATAATATTGAATCTGCATATATATACATGTATATGTTTATATATATATAAAGATAAATATAGTTCCAGAAGTTCGACTGAATGTGTAAAGTCTATACAGTTTCAATTTTCTGCCCGACTTTATAACTTTTTATAATGATTTTCTCAGTCAAATGCATCGATTTCGGTTGAATATGAAGACAAAAAATGAGTAAAGGGTTTAAGTTTTTATTGCCCATCATTTTTACTGAAATGTGCAAATTGTTACATGAGGATTTTTCTTATTCCCCCATGTAAGCCCATTTAAAATCATTTGGGCATCTGCAGTTGTGTCTTGCTTCTCCTCATTCTTACATCGTTGCCAACAGGCTACAGGGACATTTCGCAAAATTACGAACCTTGCATTTCATATATTTATATTACAGCTCAGTAGTATCGTTTAACACAAACTTTTGTGTAATATTTGCAAACTTTGTACTTCACATACTTTACTTTAGTCCTATTTAACTCTGCTTTACTTGATTGCTGTTGTTTGTCAATTTTCACTTTTGGTTTGTACAATTCTCTTCCCAAGGTAGAACGTGCTCTTCTCCCCAAAATGTTCCAGTCACAAAAGTGTGCTTGAAGAGGATCGTGGCTTCTATAGTACGTTTTTCACAGTGTGTTGAATGAATTTGGACCATGTGCAATACGCTTGCCTTAAGCAAGCTTTTATTCAAGATTTCGAGACTCAAGATGGCTAAGGTCATAAAAGACTATATATTTTTTCAATGCTCGCATTAAATTCAAATCAGAAACATTAAATTTCGAGGGTCATGTATTGTCAACCACCCCTATTCTTGGCATTACTCCTGGAGTCGCCTAACATTCTCGTAACAAATAAAATTAACTTCTTAAAATGTGTGGTAGAGAGTACACAGAGTATGACAATAGAGTTTTCATTACAAAATATAATGAAACTTAATGCAACAAAAAGCTACTTAATCAAAAAAAAGAAAAAGGAATAACCAATATGTTGACGAGAAAACAATCCCAAGCGATAAATTGGTTTCTTTTATTCAAAAAAATTTGCAAAGTGCAAATAAATTCAAAACGTGATAACATTTGCCTTATATTTATTAAGTATTATTATTAAAATAAAGAGATATTTATGAGAACAATTTAAACTGTAAGATTTCTATTTTATTTAAAGCTATAGGTAGATAGGTATATGTGAAGAAGTTTTTCGCCCAAATTTTAGATTAATATTATTGCGTAAAACATGATAATGTTTCTTTAAAAAGAGAAGAGTAGTATAATTTGAAGGTTATAGTTGTATTAAGTGACTTTATTTATTAGTTTAGGAAATAAAAATTACATATGTACAGTATACAACACCAGTTAATTTTCAAATCGTAATAAGATGTTAAGATTGTAAGTTAGTTTAAATTCGACATAGGAAAATCGCGCGTATTAAGCAAAGTTGTTTTGGTATGCTCTAAAGAATACGATAATCAGATTAAGTGATAGACATCATTTAGATTTCTGCAAAGAACTCTGAACGGATTAAACA